GTTCTCCTCTGACCTCCATATAAATGCCATGATGCACTCCTCCTTAAACCCCCCATGGTAATAATAAAAAATACGACCTCTAAAAATTCAATTTCCCCTTCACTAAATGGAGATAGTAAACATCTAAGGAACATCCCAAAGCAAGAAACAGTGATTAAACACCTGCACTCTGAGCACTTGGAAGGCGGAGGCAAGAAGATTATGATCCCTATGCCATACAGACTAGCCCAGGACACATAGCAATACCTTGTCTTTTTAAAAAGTGAAAAAATATAGTCCATTCCACCACTAGGAAATCCATATTTGCCTCTTCAGCACATGGAACATGCTCTATGATAGATCATGTGATAGCACACAAAACATGTACCAACAAGTATTTTTAAAAATTGATATCATACCAACCATTTTTCAGATCACATAATAGCAAACCCAAAAATGAATAACATGAAAAGATTTAAAAAGTATACAAGTATGTGTAAAATAACTTTCTTTTGAAAAACCAATGGAGACAGAATTTTAAAAAGAGAGGTTTTTGAAGAAAAAGATAGTTAAAATAATCAAACCCATGTCTATTTTTAGACCAAAGAAACAAAGAACTGCTTAAGGAAAAACAAAACAAAATAAAATTTAACAGGGCTGGAGAGATGACTCAGCAGCTAAGAGCACTGGCTATTCTTCCAGAGGAGCCAAGTTCAGTTCCAGCACCCACATGGCAACTCACAACTGTCTGTGACACTTTTATGCAGACATATACACAGGCAAAACACCAATGCAAATAAAAATAAATTATTAAAAAAACTTGACAACCCTTAAACTGGAGGAAAAAAGGAAAGACTCAAAGTAAGAGAATACAACAAAGAATAAGGGTTGCAAAAAGTCTTATTAGAAATTATTATGAACTACTATATGTCCAAATTTTGGTAACTTAGAAATGGAAAAATATCACAAAAACATAAACATTACCAAAACTTCATTAAGGGGAAACTAGAAAACATAAACAAGCTAGTGGCAGATAATAAAAGTTAATCAGTAATAAAAAGGTTCCCATTTCAGAGAAGCTCAAAACCAGAGAGTGACATTAGGAAGTTTTAGCAAACATTTGTAGATGAAATAATATAAATTTTCCTTAAAGAGATTCCCCTTAAATAAAAGAATTTGTCCAAACATATTCTACAAGGTTAATACTAGCTTTCTACCAAAATCAGATACAAATACAAGAAATATTATAATCTTCTTTTTCACAGTTTTATTATTTCCTTTTTTCTGAGATAGGGTTTCTCTGTATAGACCTGAACATTCCTCTGAACACCAGGCTGGCCTCAAACTCAGAGATCTACGTGCCTCTGCCTCCTGAGTACTGTGGGATATTTAAAAATATTTTCATATGATATATTTGATCATATTCTTTCTCTTCTTCCAAGTCCTCCCAGATCTTCCACAGCTCCCTACCCACCAAGCTTCACATTCTCTTTCTCTCACTTAAAACAAAACAAAACCAAGAAGACAGCAAACACCAAACCAAAACAAGAAAAAGTACACACACACACACACACACAAAGAAAAACATGCAGTCTGCTTTGTGTTGGTCAACTGCTACTGAGCATGAGGTCTGTCCTGGAGTGTGGTTGATATATTCAATTATCACTCCAGTGGAGAAAACCAATTTTCTTTCTCTCAACAGGTAGTAATTGGAAATAGTTTCTTGGTTAGGAGCAGGACTTTGTGCTCACTTCCTCTTGTCTATACTGGGATTTTGTCTGGCTTGAATTTGTGCACATCTTGGGCATGCTCTTACAGGCTCTGTGAGCTCAGATGTGCATCGGTCCTGCTGTGTCTGGAAGATAGTGTTTCCCAGAGTTCTCTAGCACCTGCGGCAATAGTTCCACCTCCTCGTCCACCCAGAACTTTGAATCCAGAGAAGAAGAGTGTGGAGTCATACAGACATCCACTTAGGGCTGAATGTTCCAAAGTCTCTCACTCTATTCAGGTTATCTAGCTGTGGGTCTCTGTGTTAATTCCCATCTACTGCAAGAAGAAGGTTCTCTGATGAGGGTTAAGCAATGCAGTGATATGCAAATTTCATAAGTTATTCTTGATGAACATGAACACTCAAATCTTCAACAAAAAAAATCTTCAACAAAATACTTGTAAATGAAATCAACACACAAAATGATTATTCCCTGTGATCACAGGAATGGGATGGTGGTAGAATATACACGAGTAAATATATGCGATGCATCATTACCAACAAACGGAAGGATTAAAAAACATAGTCACCTCAATTCAAACAGAAAAAAAGCATTTGATGAAGCTCAGCATCCCTTCATGATCAGAATGCAAACACGGCTGAGCATAATAAAGGCCACTGTTAGGAAGGCCTAACATTTGCCGAGTGAGAAGTGGAGGAAAACTTTCTGATACATCTGAACCAAGCAAGACAAGTGCATATGCTTTTACCACTTCATCCACCATGGCGTTAGGCACTCTAGGTAGAATGAGTAGGGAAGAGAAAGAAATAAAGGACATCAGGTTAGAAAAGAAGGAAAACTGCCAGTGTTTATATATGATGGGATCTTACAGATCAAGAAAACACTACTAACCTACTAGAATTAGTGAGAGAGAGCCAGCCAGATACTAGGTAAAGCCCCTTCTCACACAAACGCAGCAATCAAGAGTATGATCCTCTAGGATCCAAGGGGAGAATCAACTCTACAAAGTTGTCTTCTGAACTCCACATATATGTCATAGCAAGTGAGGCACCCCAACAACAATAATAATGAATAAAATGTCTTTAAATAATACAGAAGTGGAGAATGGAAATTTAATATACAAATAGCAGTAGTATTTTATACTATAAAAGGAAATTCCATAAAACAAATCAATAACTAAAATAATACACTAGCTAGGAATAAATTTAATTGAAGAGATCAAAAACCTCTATAACGAAATTATAAAATATTGATGAAAGATTAAATAGCTCTCCAAGACATTGCAAGATATTCTGCTGTAATTGACTGGAAGAAACAATATTGATAAACATTCATATTGCAAAGCAATGTACAATTCAATGCAATTCCCATCAAAATTCTAATTAGCATATTTCAAAAAGCTAAAAGACATTCTAAAATGCATATTGAACCTCCAAATATCTTCAGACAAAGCTATTTTGACTAAGTTGAACAGAGGAGGAGGGACTATGCTACCTGACTTTAAAATACACCTCGAAGCTGTATTAATCAAAAGTGCTGACATTAAGACCACACACACAGACCAATGGGACAGAGTAGACTGATTGAAAGGAAGTCTACACCATGACAGCAAACACTCAGTACAATTAACTACAGAATAGAATGAAAAAATGGTCAACATACTCCATCCTTAGGTAACCACAATTCAAAGCCATGAGAGGCCAGAAGGTGAGAAGGTGCAAAGACCCCAATTCAATCCTTAGCACCCACTGAGTTCCACAAAGTTCCTCTAACTTCCACATGCATGTTGTGACACACAGGCACACACAATTAACTAATTAATTATCTCTGCAGCTCTTTGGCCAACCAGCCTAGCTAAATCAATCAACTTCAGGTGCAGTGAGAGGTTTTGTCTCAAAAATTTAAGTAGGGTGCAATCAAGAAAGACATCTGGTATTGAACTCTGATGTTCACATTTATGAACACAGTGCACATGTGCACACATGCACACACACAAAAACAAGTACACAAAAGACTAAATATAACAAATGTTGATGAGGATGTGGGTGCAAGGGAACATGTTGTGGGTGGAAATATAAATTAGTGCAGCCATTATAGAAAACAGAATTGGTATTTCTCCCAAAATTAAAATATGGCAATATATAGAAAGGAAATGAAACTAGTGTATCTACACTCCTTGTTCTTTACTGCACTGTACAGAACAGCCAAGAAATGGAAATAACCTAATGGGGACAACTGAAGAATGGACTAAGAAACTGGTCCACATACACAATACAGTTTTAGAAGAGGGTGGAATTTGTAACTTGTAGTAAGATGGGTGGAAGTGGCTATCCTGCTGAGAAGTGTCAAGCACAGAAATGGAAGCAGCACTTGGGCTCACTCATATGTGGAAGTTATTACAGAAGTGTAGAACGGCAGCTACAAGAACTCAGGGAGCCTAGTGTTCAGGAAGGGAAGAAAGCTGACACTGGATAATCAATTAAAAGTTGGAGAGAAGCAAAAAGCTACAGTGAGGTGACTGGAGATAACGAGGAGAAACTGCACTTTTCAAAGGCCAGAAAAGAGAATTTTGAACATTTACACCCTAAAAAAAATTATCATGTCTTTGAAATAAACATGATTAGCCTGATTTAACCATCATGCAACACATAAATGTATCAAACCTTATATATTACTCAAAAAGATGTACAGCTCTCTATGTTTAAGTATTAGTTGAAAAATAAAGCATTTCTGTTATTGCCAGGTAAGTTCTGGATAGCTAATATAACATACTGCCTACACAATGCCATATTGTATACTTAAAATTTGCTGGGTATAGGTCATTTCCTTAAAAAATTATATTTTTGGTTTATTCTTTGTGAATTTTATACATGCATACAATGTATTTGTATTGCAGTCACCTCCTACCCCACTCCACCAACTCCACCCACATCCTTCCGCCTGTGTCCTTACAACTTCATGCTCTTTTTTAAAAAGTTTTCATTAATTCTTTGAGAATTTCATATATTATAATCATATTAACTTCTCTCCCCCAACTCCTCCCAAATCTACCTCCTTAGTACCCATCCAACGATGTGTCCTCATTTTTTTAATACTCTACTAAAACCAATTTGTGCTCTCCATGATCTCACAGGTGTAGGGGTATCCACTGGAACATGATCAACCTTACGGAGCCAAATCCTTAATGAAAATGGACTGTTTCTCTCTCAGAAGCCATACCAGTCAACAGCTCTAGGGGTGGGGCTTGGAGCCCAATCCATGCCGATTGTTGACTGGTTTGATCTTCCATAGGTCTTGTGTGATGACCACAGTTGCTGTGAGTTCATGAGTGGAGCAGTCCTGTCCAAATGCAATCCCACTTACGGCTAGGCAGTATACAGACACTTACCCTCTGTACTCTGACAAGAACCTTCCAGCCAGCAAGGTAGAAGCTTCCAGGTATGTTTGATTTCTCCAACTCCTGTGACTAAAATGTGTGGTATGTTCAGCAATGGGGTCTTACCATTAAGTTCTGGTGGGTAACCAGGAACAATGGCAACCGTTTCTTAATATTTTGGGGGTCTCTTGGGCTGCCCTAACTGCTCAAGGGGACATGCCCCACACCAGGAGCTGGGATCTTTTGTTTAGCAACCTATACCTTGTGGGAGGAGCATTATTTCCTGTGTAGGATATTCTACCTAAACTCCTGAGAAGGTTTCCATATGGCCATTTCAAACATTCTTAGTGTTAGTTATTCCTCCCCCACTTCCTCCTCTGCCCAGCCTACCTTTCTCCTCCCCATCTAACTCTCATCTCATTATTTGAGAATAGATCTTATGTTGTGTTCTTCCAGCTTAGCAAAAACCATACCTACTAACTTCCCATCCTTCTCTCTTTTAAATAACCCACTAAGCCCAGTTAGTGCTTCCTATGTGTTCATGGGTATGGGGCCATTCATTTATACCCACAGACCTGGGTCAAGGTAGAGACGAAAACTGATCAAAACTATGCAAAGAGTGAGCACTCTGTGTTAAGTAGGACATCGTTATCAACTCCCTTCTCTCACTGCCCTGTCTTGGGGAACATCACAAAGACGAGGCAGAGGGGAACATGAAAAGAGAGGAGGCAGAAAGAATGTAAGTAATCTAGAAAAAAAGGAATGTACATGCCAGAGGATGGGATTGGAGGTTGCTATGAGATGCTGTCTTCTAAACAAGACTGTTGCTTAGGAAACCACAGCAGCTCTGGTTACCTGCCCAGGACCTATACAAGATCACACCAGCTAAAATTCCACCATAGAGAGGGGAGGGACTCACAAAGGGCCACACTCCAAGCCAAAGAGGTACTGGCAGTTGATAGCTACTGGGGGACGGAAACAGTCATTCTTCTTTGGGGGTGATTTTTAACGGTGGGACAATGACCATGATCAGCAAGCCAGCTGACTTCTGTTACTCTAAATGTTATTTGTAAGAGCTGAATCTTATGGACGTTCCAGTTTTAGATTTTTAAGGGTCTTCACAGTGTTTTCTATAGTGGCTACATTAATCTAAATTACCACCAAGATTATGTAAGGCCCATAGCCCTCTGCCCCTGCATTTTCAGCACCATCTCTGCTACAGTTTTTTCTTGCTACAGTTTTCTTATTTCATCATACCCACACCTACTGAGGAAATGGAATATTAACGTAGTTTTGATTTGCAGTCCCCTAATGGCTAACAAGTTTCAACATTTTCTCATGTAGTTATTGCCCATTAGTATTAAAAATTCCTGTTCAGTTCATTACCTGGATATTGATTCAATTATTTATTCTTTGGTTAACATTTCAGGTTCCTTATGCATTTTATCCTTATTCTTCTAGCAGATGAATAGTTTATAAGATTTTCCTCTCGTGCTGTAGACTATAATTTTACTCTGCTGTTTCTTTTCCTGTACAGAAGCACCATTTGCCAATAGTTGTTCTCATTTCTTCAGCCAATAGACTCTTATTCAGCAAAGTATAGCCTGTGTCAATATCTTGAAGTATTGCTGCTATGTTTATCTCTACTTGTTTCAGTATTTTGCATTTTAGATTAATGTCTTTGATCCATTTTGAGTTGTACATGCAAATAGCCAGCTTTATCAGAACCATATGTTGTAGAAGCTATCTTTCTGAAATGTAAGTTTTGGCACCTTTATCAAAAATCAGTTGATGTAAATGTGTGAGTCTTTTTCTGGGTCCTCTATTGTATTCCATTCATTATTAATCTATTTTTAGACTAATACCATACTTCCTTTGATAGTATGTCTTTAAAATGTATTCTGAAATCATATATTGTATTGTCTCCATCAAGATCATTTTTTGCTGGTGGTTAGGTTGGCTATTAGGGTATTTGGGGACCCATGTGCACTTTAGGATATCCTTACAGCACTATTAAAAATGGCAAGTATTTTAATTGGTAGTATATTGTATCTACTGAATCACTTTTGATAGTATAGTCATTTTAACAATGTTAATTCAGCTGGGCAGTGGTGGCACACGCCTTTAATCCCAGCACTTGGGAGGCAGAGGCAGGCAGATCTCAGTGGGTTTGAGGTCAGCCTGATCTACAAGAGCTAGTTCCAGGACAGGCTTCAAAAATACACATTACTTCTGTGGACTCACAACATGCAAAGTCTTTCTGTTTTCTAGTCTCTTCTTTGTCTTTCCTCAATAGTTTATAATTGTCAGTATAGAGGTCTTCTTATCTCCTTAGTTGTTTATTTCAAAGTATTTTATACACACACACACACACACACACACACATATATATATATAGTTTTTTATTTCTTTGTCCTGTAGTTCAATTTTGCATACGAGTTATGTATACAGAAATTTCTCATGAATTTATTAGTTCTAAGAGGTTTTTTAAAAAGGTTTTAAAAATCTCTTATTATGTTATGTGTTTTGTGTTTTATCTGTGTATGAGCACCGTGTGCATACAGTATCCCTTTAGAGGGTGTCAGAACCCCAGAACTGGAGTTACAGACAGCTGTAAGCCATTACATGGGTGCAACCAGTGCTCCTCACCATTTTTTCAGACCCCAATTCTGAGTGCTTTGAGTCTTTGTATTGAGACATAGGATTTTGTAAGTTATCTACATCAGGAATAATTTGATGATTTGTCTAAAATTTCAAGTACTATACTTGCATAAAAGTGAAAATGGAACTTTTGTTTCTGATTTTAGCAGAAATGTCAGTTTTTTCCCTTTAGGTATGATATTGGTATGGATTTTTCATATGCAGGCTTTTAAGACTATTTTATGCATATGACTGTTTTGCCTGTATGTGCACATGTATACCACATGTGTGCTGGGCTCACATGGAAGTAAGAAGAAGGCAGCAGATCCACTGGAAGTGGAGTTATGGATGTAGATGCTAGGAACTAAATCCAGGTCCCATGCAAGAGATTCAAAATGCCTTTGTATTCTGAATTCTTTGATGTCTGCTGTAATGTTTTCCTGTTTGTTTCTGACTCCATTAATTTGGGTCTCCTCTTTCTTTCCTTTGGTTTGTTGGCCCAAGGGTCTCCTGATGCTGCTCATCTGATTTTCAGAATATTATAAGGGACTATTTTGAAAAAAAAAACTATACAAAATTATATTAGAAAACTCTCTTGAAGGGAAAAGGGAAAGAGTGCTTGGGGGAGTGGGAGGGTGGAGATGGAGGAAGGGCGGATATAGGAGCAGGGAAGAAGATATCTACATTAAGGGATCCATTTTAGGGTTGGCAAGAGACTTGGCTCTAGAGGGGATCCCAGGTGTCCACGGAGATGCCCCCAGCTATGTCCTTGGGCAGCAGAGCAGAGGGTGCCTGAACTGTCCTTGCCCCACTGTCACACTGATGATTATCTTGAATATCACCATAGAATCTTCATCTGGCGATTGATGGAGATAGAGACAGAGACCCTCATCAGAACAAGGACTGAGCTCCCAAGGTCCAGTTGAAGAGCAGAAGGAGGGAGAACATGAGCAAGGAAATCTGGACCGCGAGGGGTTGGTCCACCCATTGAGACAGTGGGGCTGATCTAATGGGAGCTCACCAAGGCCAGCTGGACCAGGACTGAATGAGCATGTGATCAAACCGGACTTTCTGAACGTGGCTGACAATGGGGGCTGAATGAGAAGCCATTGATAAAGGCACTGGGACCTATTTCTACTGCTTGTTCTGGCTTTTTGGGACCCTAGTCTATTTGGATGCAAAGCTTCCTAGGCCTGGATGTGAGGGGGGGGGGGCGTGGACTTCTCACAGGGCAGGGTTCCCTGCCCTCTCTTAAGGAGGGAGAAGGAAGAAGGAGGGTGAGTGGGGGAGCAGGAGGGGAATGGGAGGAGGGGAGGAAGTGTATATTTTTGAATGGAAAAAATAAATTAAAAAAAGAAAAAGATAAAGAAAACTCCTCTCTCTAAGTGTGGAGAAACTGGAAGCAATCCTATCAAATGAGTCAGGCCTGTGCCACCATCCCCACTCATTTCAATATAGTGCTGAAGCAGTAAGAACAAGAGAGAAATTAAAGGGATACAAACAAGAAAAGGTGAAATCAAGTTATCATTATCTACAGATAATATGCTAGGATAGATAAGAGACCCCAAAACTTCACCAGAAAAACTTCTTAAAACAGGAAATTACTGCAATGAAGACAACGCCATTTAAGGGAATTTACATTTGACCAAACATTTGAAGGAAAGAATGGGGCAATCCGCAGGAAGAGTTGCGGGAACCTTTTTAAGGACATGGAACAGGTAATGCTTGAGGGGAAAGTGTGTCTAAAGTTTCCCAAGATAAACAGGAAGAACAAACTGTGGCTAAAGTACAAAGAACGCAGGGCTGGAAGAACAGCACGAACTGAGGTCAGGGAGTCAGAGCTCCCAATACCTTAGTGGGCATAGAGACCTAGCTTTAATTGAGATGTATGAAGTAGAAACCTATTGAAAGATGTTTCAAGGAGAAAAGCAACAACATTTGATCAGTGTTTTAAAGGCGAGCAGGGAGGCCTTTCAAGTGCCTTATTCCATTAACCCAGGGAAACAGCAACAAAGGGAATGAGGGTCGCATTCTGAAGGAGATGCCCTTGATCTGCTTTCTGATAACAGACAGAGCATCAGAGAAACTTCTAGAAAAGACTTGGGGTTTTTCTCCCCTTCTTGAGGTGCCCCTCTGCTCTGCAGAAGGTCTTTTTCCCTGTGTCTGTGGTATGTGTATGCTTTCTTGCCCTCAATTAAATGCCTTTCTTCAAACTGCTTACTCTACCTGTGCCCGTTTGCAGAGTTCCAGATCCTCCACTAGCACCTGCCTCGCTTGAGACTCTTCTTGTTTTGTTTTGTTTTGTTTCTTAATTCTTTAAAAGGCAGAGAAAACAAACCCAACCAAGGCCCTTGGTCTGTATAACTTTGGGGACCTCGCCTCAGGACCTCTTCAAGGTGAGTAAGAAAGGCCAAGCCTTGAAAGGACAGGAAGCTGTATCTGTCCCATTCTGTAGCACCCTTCCCCCAGCCCGGATAGAGACTGGTGATTTTCTTTTCTTTAACCAGGAAGACCCCCTTCGACCTTCTAACTCTATGTCTGTGGGCCCTAGGAAGTCTGTTAAACTGTTTGGCGACTAGGGAGGGACCTGTGAACGGACACTGACACTACCCTGCTAACCTAAGCCCTGGCTCCAGAGCCCTGCAGTCTCCCTCTGCTCAGGGCCATCTGGCTGCCTGAGGGAGAGATTTGGAGAGATTTGGAAGGTTCCGCTTAACCTGGGGACAAACAGACCTTTGGATTTTGCAAAGCGCCTGTGTCTCCTACCCTTACTTTTCTCTTCTCCAACACTGAGAGAGAGAGAGACAGAGAGAGAGAGACAGAGAGAGACAGAGACAGAGAGACAGAGACAGAGACAGAGAAACCCACTACTATTTCGAACTAAAATTAGATGGTGGTTAAATGTCTTTCCTCTCCCTCTAGAAGCTAGCTGAGAGCTCTCCCACTGATGGTAGCTACCGTGAGCTGAGACTGTGGAATTCCTTCCTCTGTTTTTGCTTTTGAGGGCCTACTTGCTGAGTCCATAGGACTATCTCTTACATCCACCCTCACCTAACTAACTAAAGGGTCTTTCTAAAGAAAAGGGTGTAAAAGTCCACATTTAATCTGTGAGATGTGCGGATCCCACCCCGTGGGAGATTATGAGCTCACTTTATCAGGGACCTGGGCTCATCTTGAGCAGAAAACAACGATGTGGCTTTGCTGACAACATCAAGATGGAAGCAGCCATGGGACTTGGCTGCCATCTTTGCTAATGCTCTGTTTTTAAAAGGACAAATGCCATGCAACTTCACCACAATCTTAGCTAATGTGACAATCTACCATAGGCCAAACATGCGGCACCCGTAAAACTTCCGAGATAGAGCTGGGTGGTGGTGGTGCACACCTTTAATCCCAGCACACGGGAGGCAGAGGCAGGCAAATCTCTGTGAGTTCGAGGTCAGCCTGGTCTACAAGAGCTAAATCCAGGACAGGCTGCAACGCTACAGAGAAACCTTGTCTTGAACCCCCCCCCTCCAAAAAAACTTCCAAGACAGTCCTACTGAGCTGCTTGATTACAATTGCCTCCCTCCCTCCCCCCCTCTTTTAAATCAGACTAAAGAGGCAACACCAGGCCTCCAAAATGGTTTGTTTTATTTTAATGTTCAGTTTTGTTTTATATTAAATGTGAGCCTTTCAGTTAAATAACAGGTTAAGAAAAGAAACAAGCGAATACGGTGACCTTCTGAGTTTTTAGCTTTGTTGCTATTCTGTTGTTTTCTGTTTACTCTCCTCCAGATTACAGGGACTTAAACACAATTTACATATAGTGGATTGTGAAAAGCCTCTTCTAATTTAGATGATACTCTTTAAATAAAAAGAAAATCACTTATCATGCTTGCTTCCTATCTGGATTAAGTTATTAATAATAACAACAATTATAATATGGATTTACAGCTTTAAAGAAAGAAAATGGGCATGAGGTCTGGAAGACCCTATGGCAGAGCAAATAATCCCTTTTCTATTGTTCAGGCAACTACTTGAAATGCTCTGGGGTTCCTCTGCAGGGGTTAAAGGTATGTAAATCTATATCACAGAAAACAGGCCACTATTTAAGTCCTGGGGGAGGGAACCTCAATCTCTCTCTCAGAAGCCCTGGCACCCTAATCTGGATCTGTCCCAAGGATAAGGTTACAGAAGAGCTAGTGAGAGCCCCACCTTGATCTGTCCCAAGGATGAGGCTTGGAGGGAACTAGTGTGTGTCTCTCACAAGACAGGGCTTTCTAACCTTGATCTGACCTCCAATGAGGTTAGGAGAAAGCTAATATAATCTAAAAATGAAGTCTGGGTTGTCAGTGAAAACCAGCAGGGACCAGAACTGCAGTCCTGGGTAAGAATGACACTGGGAAGTGGTCCTGGGGTGTCAGAATCTGGCCGATCACTCTCCTGTCTCTCTGGATGCTGGGTTGAGAGACTGGCGGAGGCTTAAGTGAACCTCCATCAGTCTCTCCCAATCTTGTTTGCACTTTATAGATGGGGACAAAATCTTCCAAGAGTCCTTCAAGTTCCCCCACAGACTTGCCTCCTGCACAACTGGAGCAGGTTAGACCCTGAGGTACTTAGAAAGAGGGCCTTAGTCTTTTTCTTGACCCAAGCATGGCTTAAACGCTCTCCTGGGAATAATGAAAGTGGCCCCCAGTGGCAACTCTAAATTCTAATATCATCCAATAGCTAAAGCTGTTCTATAAATAGGAGGAAATGTCCTCTAAAGTTCCCTATGTCCAACTTTTCTTTTACCCACTAGATCATCCAGATATTGCTAGAAAACAAACAAACAAAACCCCTACACGATGGATTACCTTATGCGAATCTAATCAAAGTTTATTTTTAACATGTTTAATGTCTGTTCAAGCTTCACCTGAACATTACAGAAAGTGGTGCAACTGACCCTCCGGGTGTTCAATAACCATACTTGGAAGCCTATGACAATGTGGTCAGGCACATTGAAGGGGAGATCGCTCCTCTCCCCAGGCCTTCAAGATCAACTGGGTCCCACAGAACTATGGGGCAGAGGCAGGTGGATCTCTGTGAGTTCAAGACCAGCCTGGTCTACAGAGCTAGTTCCAGGACAAGCTCCAAAGCCACAGAGAAACCCTGTCTCAAAAAAACCAAAAAANAAAAAAAAAAAAAAAAAAAAAAAAAAGAACTATGGGGCATGTCTCAAAGTATCCTATAATTGTGGGAAGTTACCTGTTTCCTTGCTCAGAGGAGGTATCACTGAATGGCCGCTAATCAGCATCCTGTCTGTAAAGAAGAGAGTCAACACAGGAGAAAACTTCCTCCACACATCCAAATGAAACACCGGTCAGGCAAGGCCTCACACAGATGGATTAACTGACAACAGAGAGATTAGAGGAGTCAGAGAGGCTCCTCCCAAGCACAAATGATCCCTGAGGACCAGATCTTCAAATGGCACTGGCAGTAAAAAAAAAAAAAAAAAAGTGGGGCCTGGAGAGATGGCTCAGCAGTTAAGAGTTCTTTCAGAGGACTCGGGTTTATTTCCTAGTAGCCACATGGCAGCTCACTTAACTCCAGCCAGTTACAGGGGACCCAACACCAATGTGCACATTTTAAAAAAAAAGTGATTCATTCTGGCCACCTACACTTCCTCGCCCATCAGAAAGTATGACCAGGGTTGAAATGATCAAGATGATTTTTTTTTTTTGGTTCTTAGAGACAGGGTTTCTCTGTGTAGCTTTTTAGCCTATCCTGGAACTAGCTCTGTAGACCAGGCTGGTCTCAAACTCAGAGATCCGCCTGCCTCTGCCTCCCGAGTGCTGGGATTAAAGGCATGCACCACTGCTGCCCGGTTTAGTGTGATTTTTTTTATTAAAAGTGGGTTTTTTTTTTTACATTTTATATATCACCACAGTTTCCCCTCCCTTCCCTTTTCCCGCTTCCCCCCACCCCATGTTCCCTAGACTCAACAGTCCTCAGACATTGTACTGCATGAACCATATGAGATATCATTTGGACAACTATTTCCTACTAATTCATTTCTTCCTGATAACACTATCTCTTTGTAAAAGAGCACTTCTCACAGCTGTAATATGATGTCTAACCAATCATGTTCCCATTAAAGGAGGCTGCCAAATACCTTGTTAACTCCCAGGCTTGAAGAAATATTCAAGGTAATAAAATGGTGTCCTGGGACATTGCTGAACAGCTCTGAAAAAGATATGTCCTCTTTACATTGTCTATCAAATGCTGTTGTCTGGTTGTAACTTCAACAAAGGAAATCTGGATTTCATTCAGGTTTGGTCTATAGTGTATGCCTCCACTAGACATTACAGCTGGTGTATGGGCAGAGGCATCTCTTGCTGGTAAGGTACCACCTATAGGTTTCTACAGGATTCTGGTAAAAGGTTCTTGTACACAGTTCAGTCAGCTACACAATTTGCTTCACCTTCTTAAACAAAACTTATGTTAACCATGATGTTGAGGAACTTTCCACATCAACTTTGTCTCTCAATGTTTCCCATGGTTACAGAAGAATAAACTCAATGGGTGACTTCTGAACTTAGGGCTGATGAAATACTCCTTGAACTCTTGAATCAAACAAATGGCCTCCTCCACAGGATACACCTTAAGCCTTACAATTTTAGCAAAGGAATCATCAGTCTCCTTGATACCTACGACAAAGCCTGTCAAGGATTCTTTGGATGGTTGTCTTGCCTGTTCTCTTCCTCAAATAAGGGCAGAACCACCCCAGCTATTTTTCCAACAATGCTCTTAGTAAGAGTGGCATTTTCTATATGTTACAGATGCTACCCCCCTTGGGACAGCAATCTTCAAAGATGTACACCACCGCCACCTTGGCTATCTTATGTTCTGGATCATCACCACTGGTGAAGTTTTATCATGGCCCATGAAGTCAAGCCATCTCTGAGGACTGACTGCCCACCCCCATCTATGCTGGTGAGCAGGAAGCAATTAAGAGCAGTTAGCAACCCTAACTCCCTGAGAGCAGTCAGGGTGACCTCTGAGAGGGAGTAATGAGAGGCTAGGGGTTGGTCGACAGACAGGTAGGGTGAGGGGCCATGACTAGGAATAATGGAGGGGAATTTCCAAGATAGCAAAGATAGTGAGCTTCTTCCTCATCCTCCTGACTTGCGACAAAAGCCTGGCCGCTAAAACAAAGTGCTAGTGGGCTTCTGTTTCCCACCAGCAGGCCCTGTGCTGATGGACTGACTCAACAAGTTCTGTTTGCATCTGGATCGGGACGTGTTACACAACACTTGTGAGCCAATCTACCTTCCCATCTTTCTTCAAACTGACCAACCCTAAATTAGGGAAGGAAAACTCTTCAGAGACTTAAATAAAAAAAAAAAAAAAAAAAAAACAGGCCTCAAGAAAAGACCGGATTCTTCAGCTTCCCAAATCCTCCCTCCGTTTTGCAGAGGGTAATTTTGTGTGTGTGTCTGCAGCATGCCTGTGCTTCCTCACCCCCAACCCCAATAAACAGTTTTTCTTCAACTGCTAAGACAATGAAAGAAAGAAAAGACTTGAGGGTTTTGTCCTCTGCAAATAAAAGGATGGAACTATCATGATAAATGGATAAGATTACAGGTTATTGTCTGGCAGTTGTGGCCTTTACTCCCAACACTTGGGAGGCAGAGACAGGTGGATCTCATTGAGTTTGAGGCCAGCCTGGTCTACAGAAAGTTCCAGGACAGCCAGACCTACACAGAGAAACCCTACCTAGACAAACAAATGAAGAAACAAGAAAGACTACAGGTTTTACAGGGCTGGTGATAAGGCAAGGCAAACAAGAATCAAGTAGGTGGTAGACATAAGAATTGTGATTTTGGCCTAGTGGTGGTGGCACATGCTTTTAATTCCCATATTTGCGAGGCTGAGGCAGGGTCATCTCTGTGAGTTCGAGACCAGCATGGTCTACAAAATGAGTAACAGGACAGCGAGGACTACACGGAGAAAGCCTGTTTGTGGGGGATGGATGGGAGAGGAACTGTGGATTATTATTTTTATGGGCATGACTTTAGCTGGTATAAAACTGAAGAATCACTGGCATGTACAGTCGTGTGAAGTCACAGAATTGGATTACATTAAAAGCAATTGTACGTAGAAAGGATATAAAGATTGAGCCTTGTAGGACTCCAAAGTTTAAAGGTAAATAACATCTGAGTGGTTTAGCAAAGTAGACTGACAGACGAGAGCAGAGGTTAAAAGGAAAAAACAAGACGATGATAAAGTCTTGGACACCACATACGGGAAATGATTTCAGACAAATGGAATGACTAAGACATCATTTGCTATATTGCTTGGAGGTTATCGGTGACTGACTTTTACACAAACATTTTCAATAAAATAGCAGAGACAAAGGCTCATAATTAAAAAGATCAAAAGAACAAATAAAATTAACAAGGAAAAAAAGCCAAAGTGTAGAAAATAGCATATTTCTTTCAGTAATAACTCTAAACATAAATATCTTAGCTCTCTAGTTAACAGACAAAAACACTAGATGTTTGGATTTTAAAAACAGATCCAACCATGCATTCTCTACTACAAACACAAGTAAAGTCATCTGGGAAGAGGGAACCCCAAATGAGTAAATGACCTGTAGGCAAATCTGTTGAACATTTTCTTGAGCAATGATTGATGTGGGAGGGCCCATCCCACAGTGGTCAGTGCCACCTCTGGGTTGGTGGTCCTGTGGTATACAAAGTATGATGAGGAAGCAAGGAGGCACAAGCCAGAAACTCTTCCATGGTTTCTGATTTGGTTCCTGCCTCTAAGTTCCTGTCCTGACTACCCTTCATGGTAGACTGTGTGGGGACATGTAAATTGAAAAATCCTTTCTTCTCTAAGTTACTTGTGATCATATCATGGCCTTTATAAAAGCAACAGAAACCTAACTAAGACAATACCTCACTGGCAAAGATATATGGGATAAAAATGGAAGCAAGATGGACTAGCTATATTCATATCTAACAAAACAGATACAACCCAAAATTAGTCAGAAAAGATAATGAAGTTCAGTACATATTAATAAAGAGAATAATTCATCAAGAATATAATTATTGCAAATATATATACATCAAACTTCCATGTGCCCAATTTCCTAAAATTTACACTACTGGATATAAACAGATTGATTTGTAAAGATACAATGACTGTGAGAAATCTCAATTAACCCATCTAATAAATAGATAATCAAAACAAAAGTAAACAATATAATCAGAATTGAATTACAGCATATTTAAGTGGATTAAAAAGATGACCATAGAATATTCCCTTCAGTAGCTATGGAATACACCAGTGGAACTTTCGTCAATGCAGATCACAGTTTAGGCCATTAAACAAGTCTTAAAAATAGAAATATCTAAACTGGTATCCTATCCTATCATAATGGAATAAAACTAAAATTCAACATCAAGAGAAACTATAGAAAATACATAACCATGGAAAATTAATATTGTGCTTTTGAGTGAGCAGTATGTTACTGAATCAAGTGGGAGATTGAAAACTTTCTAGTATTGAGTAAAATGAAAACATCATTAAATGGAATATTTTTTGATACAGCAAAAGTATTCCTAAGAAGGAATTTTGTAACTAAGGATGCGCTACCAGACAAAGTTGCAGAGTTCTCAAACAAGTAACCCAATGGTGTGCATCCCGTTCTCAAACTAGTAATGCAAGGGTGTGCATCCTGTTCTCAAATAAGTAACCCATTGGTGTGCATCCGTTCTCAAACTAGTAACCTGAGGGTGTGCATCCCATTCTCAAACTAGTAACCCAATGGTGTGCATCCCGTTCTCAAACCCGAGGGTGGGCATCCCGTTCTCAAACAAGTAACCCAAGGGTGGGCATCCCATCTTATAAAGCATGACAAGGCAAACTAACAACTTTAAAAATAAGAGCTGAAATCGAAATAGAAAACAAAAGAACACGATAAATGTTCAAAGAAACAAAATTACCTGAAAAAGATAAATGTGATCAACAAACCCTTAGCCAAATTAATGGAAGAAAGAGAAGACCCACGTTAATAAAGTAAAACTTTTTAAAAGAAATATTACAATAAATATTCTTGATATTCTGCAGTTAATTAGGTAGTATTTTTAAATAATGCTTTAATAGTTGGAAAATCCAGAAGATACAAGTAAATTTCTACATTATATGGCCTATCAAAGATAAAACAAGAGGATAAAGAAAAACTGAGCAATGAGATAAACAATAGCCTCACATAAGGGAAAAGGCCAGGACCAGATAGATTCATTGCTGAAACCGAGCAGGTTTTAAAGAAGAGTTAGTGTTGATGCACTACAGAACTACCCCATAAATCACTAAGAGAAAGAAAGGTTCCAAAGTCATTCAACAAAGCCAGGATTACCCTGATACCAAAACTGGGTTAAAAAAATAAAATGATCACAATTTTATATCTACATAAATTTATAAATTAATACAGATCTTAAAATCCTCACCATAATACTCACAAACTAATGTATAACATATTATAGAGATATTTAGAAGAATCAAATTGAAATTATTTACTCATTCATTGTAATGCACAGATGTTCAACATATGCAAATCAATAAAAAATACAGTACAATAATCAAGAACAATGAACACATGATAAGTTTAATACACGCTGAAAAGTCGACACTTCTTTTTCATAAAAAAAACTGAAGAAACTAAAAATAGGAAAACTAAAGTATGCCAGGTATGGTGGTGCATGCTTTTAATTCGAGCACTTGGGAGGCAGAGGCAGGTGGATAGATCTCTATGTACCCCCAGGACAGCCTGCTCTACAGAGTGGGTTCCTAGATAGTCGGGACTTTAAGATCCTGAATTAAAAAACAAAGAAAAATTATACCTTGACTTAACAGTACTCTACATGATGAACTCATACCCAACACTCTATTGAATGACAGCAACAGAAACCATTTTCTTCAAAATTAGGAATGAAGGAAGGTTGTATCCACTTTCTCTATGCCTAGTCCATAAAGTGCTTGAAATCTTAACAAGACAAAGCAACAGAAGGAAATATGGGGAAAAGCCCATGAGACCCCAATCTTACACAAAGAATTATAAGCAACTGAGGAAGAAATCTGGGAACAGGAGATGTCGTCATTCCCAGGGAAGAGCACACTGTCCAGGGCCAAGTGGTCAGTCCTGAAAACATACATACAGGTAAGAGTATACAGACTGAACAGGTTATATGCTTGTGTGTGTGCATGCATTCATTAACAAGTAGCAAAAAATAGATCATGAATTAGAAGGCAAGCAGAAAGTGCTTTATGGTAGAGTTTGGGAATAGAAAAGGCAAGAGAAAAGTGTTGTAATTATAATCTCAAAAACATAAAAATAAAAGAATACAATGTATTATCAATAAATGCAAATGTAATTCTAATGAGATGTTTTCAGGCCCGAAATCAGCATTTTTCCTATACTATTTACATTGACCAGAGTGTGAAGAAACAGGTATATGTGCAGTTGAAGCATATGTTACTTGACCTAGCCTATCTATTAAGATTTAAAATATACTCTGTAGATAAAGCTCACTGGTAGAGTACTTCTTACAAAGCACTTCCAAGGCCCTGGATTCAACTCCTCAGCACTATTTAAAATACTGAAAATGGAGATACCTTCTTCTTCTGGGTAATGTCTTGACATCACTGAATCATCACCCCTGATTACACACGAATATGAGCACACAGGGATGTGTGAACGAACAAAATGTTGCTGCATCTCACTTTCTAATGTAAAATGCATTGCCTCTTATACTTCATACTTCTTACAGCTGTAGGTTTAAAAAGTTACTATTATATTCTTCCATACCCATGTAATGAAGGCATGAACAAAGAGCTGGTCAGATGCCCAGCTGACTGGGACAGTGCGGGTCTTTAAGCAATCATCTCATTTAAGTCTGCTCACTTGACTGCTAATCTAAAACCCCCTATGGATAAAAAGAAGCCTCTGAAGAGATGCTGCCGTGCATTTCCACTTATGAAGGAACAACACACTTGAACCTCCTTAGGACTTTTGATCTTTATGAACAGAGTTCTCGGACTCAGAAAGGGCCAGTGAGAATTAGTAGCCACCAAAACGTTGCCGTTGCATCAAACAAGAGAATAATTTTCTCTGAGCTCAGTAATAGCCAAGACTGAAAAAAAATGCAGAAACCCTCATCATGTCACCTTTCGTCACCAAGAGTGACTCCACTGTCTGGCTAAACTGAGCCTGCGGGAGTCAATACGTGTTATGATTGCTCCAGGGAAATACCTTGGCAGTGATGACGAACACTCTTTGACCTGTCCCTGTAGACATAACAATGGGTTACAGTTTATGAAGGCAGGAGTGAAAAGCACGATGTATTATATGACGTAAAACAGATGAATAATTTCTATTCTTCAGGTAGAAAGCAAGTACAGCCTAGTGGTTAAGAGAGGGCTTAAGCTGTAGAGCCTCAACCAAGC